CACGTATTAACTAATACAAAAGTAAATACAAAACATAACATCCTCCACACTTCACTCCTTTTGTCTTCACTGATTTTTCTTTTTAAAAGTAAAATGCAGTGGGCACCGGTGGCTCATGTCTATTATCCTAGCTACTCAGGAGGCAGAGATCAGGAGGATCATGGTTTGAAGCCAGTCCCAGGTAAATAGTTCCCAAGACCCTATCTTGAAAATGCCCAACACAAAACAGGACTGGCGGAGTGGCTTAAGTGGTACAGTGCCTGCTTAGCAAGCGTGAGGCCAGGAGCTCAAACCCCAGCAACACACACAAAAAAGGAAAAATGCATGTGACTAGTTTGAAGGCCCTTTGGCAAAGGATGGGAGAAGATGGGGAGGACTATTATGCACGACAAAAATGTCAATTTTATCTTGAGGGTAGTAAAACAAATAGAAAAATCTTTTAACTATGTAAGACAAAAAGGTTTAAGACAGTAGTGTAAGGCAGAGACATACCAGGTGGCATGTCACCAGGGGTGGGGGTGGGGGGCAGATCCACCGGAGCCAAGTAAGGTTAGAGAGAGCAAGGATCAGAATGAGATAAGAGGGACACAAGGGACGTACAACTGTTCCCTCCCAGGCCTTTTTCATAAGCTACATTTACAGCTAGCTAGCGGATAACCACTGGGGAGATCAAGCGATGCCTTCAATATTCAACATACTCAAGATTTGAATTCTTTTACACTATTCTTAAGGTCAGTCCTTTCTGAGGTCCAAATTCGAAAACTCTTTTTTGGCTATTTCTTCCCCTGATACAACCAGTCATGTTTGTTCATTCCTTACCAGTTCCAGACACACATCCTTTGCACATCTAAAATAATGTGGCTGTTGCCAATGTCTGCTCAATCCACGCTACACAATGCTGCTAGACTCGCCTCTCTTGACAACAGATCTCTTGCATACAGAGTACAACTTAAATTTCTAGATCGCCGTGCTTCTCTAAGCACGAAGACTGACAATGAAATTAATCCTACCTGTACATCAGAATCATTTCAAATTGTCCATATCTTCCTTAATTTTCACTGATAATTATAAAAA